CTGTCGCGTGATCCATCTGTGTTCAGTGTTGTCAACACATAGTCAGCAACACCGTCGGTCGGACACGTGCTCGGACGCGCGCGCGCTCGGGAGGCCCACCGGCGAAATCTAAAAGTAGCCAGTGAGATTAAAACAAAGAGTATCAGTAGGTTCCATGTTCGGTCTTCTTGAAACCTGGGCATATTGTTCAATTTGTTTTGTTCAATTTGTTTTACGAAATCGAGTGGAACGACAACCTTGGTGGAACCGCAAAAGGTTGGTTTCTCGGTTGGGATTTTTCAATGTTCAAGTTTCTGGGAGCTGTTGCAACTGGGCTAGCGCGCTCGGGCGCTTGGTCGGGTAAGCCACAGATCAGGAGCTCCGAACTGCTTTCAGATCCTGAAGACGATGATTCGTCGAAACTTCGTGTATGTCCATGAATAAATAAGATAAATGAACCTTATTTTGAATCAAGACTTGCGAGGAGATGTCTCTTGTCTGCTGAATGATTCGAATTGATTTGCAGAGCTACAACATCATTCACTGATAAGATCGAAATTGCATCTCCTATCGAAGGAAAAGAGCCCAAAATATGCAGATTAGATGAAGCCTTTAGTCGGATAAAATCAGGTTTGTGGTTGTCGACATGAGAAAATAAATTTCAGAATTTCCTTTCAATTTCTTAGTACTGCGAGAGGTCCTAATCAAGAATACATATACCGTATCCACTTCTTTCGAAGATTTTTTCGTGTGGAGCTCCCCAGAAGATATTTCGAAAAAAGCAAACTTTGTAGATTTCGTAATGTTGGAATAGTCACGGTGTGCACGGCAGCCGTTGCAGCGTTTTTCGCCAACTATAAACGCTGCTTACAAAAATGCGGGCTTTGAAATATTTATACATGTACGATGAATGTGATGAGCTCTAAAGATTCTAGGTGACAACATCTTCATTCACGGAATAGCTGCTACCCCAACTCCTTTGCTGAAGGGTCTTTGCGAACATGTGAGGGCGAATAATCTGAAAGACATCAGGCTGCACCACCTGATCATAGCCGGAGAAGCACCATGGACAGCACCTGATTTAAAAGGTGAGGTAAACAACTGATTATTGTCGATAAACACCACTATCGACACCTCTTTCCAGATCGGATGCGTTCTAACTCCCTTTTCACAGGTGAAAGCCTCCGGAAAGCTGTTAACGAAGGTGAGGCTAGTTTTTTTTCTCCTTTAGCACGCCCATCCTTATTTCAGTATTTAGCATTAATATTTATTTCGCTTTTATTTCTCATTTCTTTCTTTTTTCTACATGGGAGGAAGGGGGTAGTGGCATGTCGCACTCTGCATGGAACAGGGATCGAGCTATTGGTCGAGAATTTCCAATCAAGCGTTCCATCCCTTCAATATCGAGTGATTTGTACCAGATTCGGGGGGAAGGGGGGGGGGGGGGGCGACCCCAAAAAAAATCTAAATACCGCAGAAAATCCGCGCC